GATAGGTAGGTAGGTAGGTAGGTAGGTAGGTAGGTAGGTAGGTAGGTAGGTAGGTAGATTTATATATATATATATATATATATATATATATATATATATATATATAGAGAGAGAGAGAGAGAGAGAGAGAGAGAGAGAATACTTTGTTAGCACTTAATGCTCCAAACACAGAGTCTACTAGATCAACGATAACCCTATCATTCTTCACCAGGCTGACTCCACTCTGGCTGCCATTTTCCGTTTGGAAGAAGCCAAATTCAAGGAAAAATTTCCCTTCGGTATGTTTCCAAATTATGTTCTATGTGTGTAACAAAATTCCTCTAAAATCACGTGGGTGATTGGAAGGTGCTCTGTTTGCACCTTCTTTCCTATCAAACATTTGATGTCCCTATATATCTCTCCTTCTTCTTTTCTGTGTATGTTACTCTCCTGTGACACCTCAAATCTTTTGCACATAAATGGCCGGTTTGTGTTGCTAGTACCATAAAACTCTTACTCAAACTAAAAAATACTAAAATCATTAGCTCACTGAACTAATAGCCATTTTGAAAAATTTAAGCAGAAAAATGATGTATTTATTAACTCATCGAGAGCGTGCTATTTTGGAGCATTTGTGAGGCAGCGTGGTGGAATCAGGCTCTCGTCAATTTTTGGGCATGTAGAGTTATCGGTATCATCTTAAAGCTTGTTCACTTGTCTATATTTGGATGAAAAAATATCCATTTTTTAAAAATACAAGTGGAGATATTTGCGAAAGAAGGAGATGGGGGTCACCTGTTTTCAGAGATAAAATTAATGAGAAAATGGCCGCCAAGGATTACTGTAGTTATTTCCTTAGCTCAAGAGTCCGTGGTAACAGAGAATGTACATTTTGTTGTGCTTTTAACCAACGTTTTTCAGAAAATCCTCATAGAAATGAGTTCTTTAATGCCCATGAAAGGTGTTGAGCCAAAAAACAAAATTTTTATAAAAATTCACAAACCTGCGGAAAAATGCAAGTTTCTTCACTTTGATTATTTTGACGAGAGCCTGATTCCACCACGCTGCCTCACATTTTTTTAAAACGAGCCTTAACTTCGCTATTCATAACGTATAGATTTTTCGATTCATTTGTAGATCTAGTTGTCTAGATCTAAAACTTTAAGGAGGAAGACAAAAAAACAACAACAACAACAACTAGTACTACTACTACTACTACTACAACTACTACTACTACTACTACTACTACTACTACTACTACTACTACTACTACTACTACTACTACTACTACTACTACTACTACTACTACTACTACTATTACTACTACTACTTCTACTACTACTACTACTACTACTACTACTACTACTACTACTACTACTACTACTACTACTACTACTACTACTACTACTACTACTACTACTACTACTACTACTAATAATGATAATGATATTGATAATGAACGTGTCATTAATGATAAAACTACCTGTCTCAACTTTTTTTGCTCTCTGCTCTATACAATGATTATGATCATGATAATAATAATTGATAAAAACAAGTACATGTAGTAGTAGTAGTAGTAGTAGTAGTAGTAGTAGTAGTAGTAGTAGTAGTAGTAGTAGTAGTAGTAGTAGTAGTAGTGATACCATTATTTTTAGTTTTAAAAAAATAATTATTATTATCATTAGTAATAATGGTAATAATCATTACCATGCATAATCATTAGCATTATCACCATCATCGTCATCATTATTATTGCTCCAGATTACGAGAGTGGTGGCGTTGGTAGCCTCTGCTCCACGGGCTGCCCGGACTACCGCAACAACAACAAAACAGACAAGCGGACCAAACGTTGCCACGAGCGACCACCCGTACAGCTGAGCAAGGAGAGCGGAAATAAAGCCGTGACCTCTACTTCCGGGTCACGGAGAAGCCGCTCGGCCTCTGCGAAGCAGTACACTGGGTGAGGGGGTGGTGCTTTCTTGTAATTGTTGTTGTTGTTGTTGTTGTTGTTGTTGTTGTTGTTCTTCTTCTTCTTCTTCTTCTTCTTCTTCTTCTTCTTCTTCTTCTTCTTCTTCTTCTTCTTCTTCTTCTTCTTCA